GAGGTGTTAGATATATTAGTGGATCAATTTCTGGAAGACCCTGAGGAAGAAACACATCGCTGGGTGAGGAGGCACCAGCCCCAAGTCATGGAAGAAGCACTTCAGCTGGCTGAGGCCTTCACGATGGCTGAAAAGGTGGGGACCAAAGCAAAGGGTCCCAAGCCAGCAGGAACCCTGACCAAGTCAATAGGTAAGTGTGGCAGGGCACTTGGTGTGCCTGTCACACCAAGTGTGACAGGCAGCCTCTTAAGGTCAGGCTGCCTGACCTTAAGAGGTCAGGCAGCCTGCTGAGCCACTGGCAGGTGGGGTTCAGGCCTAATTCGAAAATCATCTGACCCAGGGGTCGGCAGGTGAAGCTGAGCCTGATCAAGGGAGTCACCTGATTGCAAGGGAGACCCCTGATTGGAGGAGGGCTGGGTTTAGACAGGATATAAGCCCAGACCCTGGGAGCAGGGTTGACAGTAACATCTTGGGAGCTGGTGGAAGAATGTCACCAAGCAGGAAGGCTGCAGCTCCTGAATGCCAGCAAGAAGCATGACATCTGGAGATTTGGGTAGGAACTAAGGGGATAGAGGAGGTTCCTGGAGACCCAGTGTGAGGGTCCAGAGCCCTAAGAAGGGGGCTGAGTGCCTGAGGCCTGTGGGAGGCGAGGCCAGCCCAGAGAGAGAGGGACTGAGAACACAGGGGTCCAGTGAAAGGCCAGGCAAGCCCTGGGAGAGGGGTTGAGAGTTTGTGGGCCAGTTGAGGGGCTAGGTGAGCCCTGAGAGAATGGCTGGATGTGTGAGAGACCTATCGAAGGGCCTGGGTGAATCCCCTGAGTGTGACAGAGCACACAGACCTATTGGGGGCTCCGGGTAAGCCCAGAGAGAGGGAGTGATCTATGGAGAGGCCTGAGAGGGCAGACCCACAGAGAGGAGAAGGCTGGCAAGCTGAAGGACTGACCCTGGGAACCTTGACTGGCCTATGCTGGGGCCAAAGGGTGAAACAGACTGGCAAGAGACTGCCAGAACTGAGAGCCTGGAGCCTCAACTGGCCTCGAGGCAGAGCCAGGGCCTAGGAGAGGCCAGACGGTCCCTGTGGGGCCACAGTTGAGAGGGAGGAGTCAAGGAGCATGCAGCCCAGGATGACAAAGCTGGTGCTAGGCTGTCTGAGGAGGAAGGATTGAGGACAGGGGTCCAAGAACAAGCTGGGGACCAGAGATGGAGGACTCAGTTGGATGATGGAGCCGGGGCCAGGGGCCCAGTGGTAAGCAGCCCAGGAGGGAGAGAGGACATCTAGGGGAAGCCCAGAGAGGGATGTATAACATCAGGTCAGCCTGAAGACCTGTCCTGGGCAAGATCTAAAACTGCAGTCTACTAGAGTTGGTGTGGTGGAGCTGTCTGTGGCAGGGCAGTCTCTATGAAATGCCATACATGGGCCACTCCAGAGAAAGGTGAGAATGGGGTGCTGGAAAGTCTTAGCTCCCACTGCCTTGTGGGTTACCCCATGGAGGGGGAAGACTAGGGGAGCTCACCCCAACAGAAAATCACTTGGCAAGGAAGACCACATGAGTCCAGAGGTCCAGAGAGGGGTCAGGGAAGACCAGGACTATGTGGGTCCAGGGGCTCAGTAGGAGGCCAGGGCAGACTGGGACCATGGGGGTCCAGAGGCCCAGAGAGGGCCCAGGGAGATCAGGACCATATGGGTCCAGAGGCACAGTGAGGGGCCTGAGGCACATAGTAGGGCCCAGCAAGCATAGTGAGACCAGAGGGGTCCAGCAGCCCAGTAAGGGGCCAGGAATAGAGTGCAGGACTGGATGGGTCTAAGGGCCTGGAGAGTGTCTGGGAAAGTGGAAAACTAAAAGGGTCCAGGATAAGGGACCAAAAGGGGCTGACAGCCCAGAGAGGGGCCAAGAGGGAGATTAGCCCAAGCATTGGTTGGGAGTAAACTGCTTCCAGATCTTTTTCCCATGTAGACGCACCCACAGAAGCTCTCACTGACATCAAAGGAGTCCTCTTGTCACGGAGCAGGAGGAGCTGAGCTCAGTCTCTGCTACTGTCATGATGTTATCTGAGCTGCCCTCAGATTTAGCCATGAAATCCCATTCTAATGATAGAATCTTTACAGCTCATTTCTTAAACTAACAAACAAACAAGTGCTGGGTCTTGTGTTAATTCACCTGGAGCATTAACTGACACAGCAAGAACTATATTTCCAAAGCTGCTTTTTCTGTAGGCCCCACCATAATTCACAGTGTTTGAGCTATCAGCTGCCCAATCCTGGATGGAAATCAAGTCCTCTGAGGCTCAAGCATTTTGATTTTAACCCACAGATTAGCTCAAAATTTAGGAACCGTTTTTGGGATCAAAAAAGGCAAATGTAGCCCTGACACTGAATATTAAGGTGAAGAAATAAGAGCTCTATTGAAGCATGCAGTTATGCTCGAAGTCTCCATGGAACTGACTAAACAGTCCAAGTCTGCTTAGGGTCTCTGAACTGCTGGAAAAGTGTTTTTGGCTTGTAGTAGGAGCCATAACAAAACCCCATTCCCTGGTAGTTCAAGCCAGACAAATTAA